AATGAACTTAAAAAACATAGCAATCAGAAACCAAAAAGGAAACAAAAACATATTCACATAATCCAAAATTAGAAACTGAATAATTTGAACGGAGTTTTACCAGAGCTCATCTTTACCACATTTTTGTGAAGAAACATATACATCGACGGCGACAGCGACAGATAATTTGTTGTTGACAATGCAAGATAAGAAAATGAGAGAAGGTTCGGTTTTAGAAGTTTAGGTTCGAAAACAGACGGGCTTTTTTTTTTCTTTTTTTTTTTATCGGTTACAGAGCATCGAGACCAGATCTGAAATTGTCAAGGCCAAACAAAGCGAGGGTTTATTTATAAATAAAACTATTATTTTGGGTATCTTTGCAATTTTTCATTTTCTTCTTGTGCTGTGTATTTTATTTTATTTTTATTTAATAATGAGAAAATATTGGAATAGCTGGGCGAAATTTACCGTTACTTGTAACTGGTGGTCTACTATTTGATGTAGCTGAGGTGGCCAAAAAATAATTAATTTAGAGGAATAAAACTATTTACCATATTTTACGTTTATTTACCATTTTCTTTTCATAGTATATATTGTATAGATCTATTTATAACACGATTTTTTTTATTTTTTTTATAATATTTAGATTCAAAAATTAGATTTAATTTAAAGAATTTAATATATGAGACTAATTGATAATTGATATTAACTTTAAATTAAATAATTTATATTTTCAAGTTTTTGAGTCTATCTCTAATAAATAATTCAAGTTAAAGTATTAAAAAAATATTTGACATACTTGTTGTGTAAAGTAAAATTGCATAAATTTTATTATTTTAGAGTTCAAGATTTTAGGTTGTAGAGTTTATAATCTAATGTTTAGGTTTTAAATTTAAAATTTAAGGTATTGGGGTTAGGGATTAGTATTAAAGTTTTTAGGATTTAGGATTAAAATAATAGAGGTATTTTATGTTCGGTTAAATCGAAATAATCAATTAAAACGAACTAATTTGATTAAACGATCGTCCATCAAAATTTATTCGATCGTTTATCGGCTAAAGAATTTTTCAAAATATTTTATTCCACTTCTCATTTATTTGTTTACGTAAAGTAATTTTATTTAAAAAAAGTTGTATATGTGTTCAAATAGTTAGAAAGGTTGTATATAAAGTTTTTAATATATATACATATTAATAATTTTAAGTTAGTTTTTCAGACAGGAGGACTATTGGAGTGTGGGGATTAAGCCCCATTTCAGCTGGATACTTAGGAAATTAATCAAATTGCGAGATGAGGCCAAGGTCCTGCTCCCAGCTTCTGCAAGCTGATGGGTATGGGATAGAATTAGGGGAAGGAAGAATAAAGTAGATTGGCATCGTCTTATCTTACGTTCCAAAATTCTCTTTAATCACATGGATGGCAATCCTTGATAGGCTGCCTACCAAGGATAGACTTGCTCGGTTTGGAGTGGTGACAGACCTTGTTTGTGGGTTATGTGGGATTGGACTGGAGTCCAAGAATCACCTATTCCTGGAATGTTCTTAGTCGAGATCAGTATGGGACTCTGTTTTACATGACTGTAGATTACAGCAGCAAGGAGGAAGCTGGGATGAGATGCTCTGCTGGATGGCCAGAAATTGGAAGGTAAGTCCCTGCTAGTTCACATCCTGAAACTGGCATGGACTGGATTCGTTTATTCCATTTGGGAAGAGCGCAACTTTCGTATTTTTAGAGGATTGTCGCGTTCAACTGATGTAATTGTACATGCTATAAAAGAGGCTGTTAGAATTAAGTTGTATAGGCATGATATGAATAGAGTGGATAGGGTAAATAGACAACTTTGTATTGATTGGGGACTCATTTAATTGGTTGTAAACTGTTTTTTTTTTTGTAGCAGCTTGTTGCTTCCATTTGGATGAAATGGATTGATTATCCAAAAAAAAAAAATTAAGTTAGTTTTCCATATGAATTACTAATTATTAAAATAATTTGGCAATGGTAGTTAGTGGCATGGCATGTAGGAGTACTTAATCAAGTCCTAAGCGTATTAGTGGAGCACATGAAATGCGAGAGAAATGCGTTTTAGTATTTTTTTTTAATAATTTGTTTGTTTATAAAATAATATTTGTTCATAAAATTTTTAATCAATGGATAGTGAATGTATATTCTATAAATATAATTATTCGAACCTAAAAATTATAAAAAAATTATCTTTTATTATTGAGAATACTAGATTAATTATATGAATTAAAATACAAAAAAGAAGGATTAGGTCTATTTTGTTATGGTTTAGGAGGAACAAGTGGAGAACACGCTTGGCTTCCACATTAAGCCACCAACAATCCATCATTATTTTCTTTTCTTTTCCTTTCTATTTTTAACTGTTAAAATATATTTTGAATAATTAACTTATTAAGTTTGATCCATAATCATCATTGAGGAATCCGTTAATTATATGTACGCCAAATACGATATTGATTAGTTATTCAAGTTAAAGTTTAAAAAAATGTAATTATTTGAGTTGATAAGTCTTATTTTATTATTTAAATTTGATTTAAAAAAATTCGAATCGACTCGAGTTTATAAAATTCAAGTCGATTTGAGTTATTCGAGTTTCTATTTAAATTTAATTATAAATAATTATAATATTATGATAATATTTTATTATAGTTTAAACGATTTTCTATAATTATATACAACATATATTTTTTTCATATTTTTTCATTCGTGATATACATACAATGACTCAACTTAAACTTAAAAATCAATTAACTAGTTATTAAAATTTTTGAATTATTTGAGTTCTATTTTATAACTCGATTTGAATTTAAAATTTTTTCGAATCAAATCAAATTTCTGAAGTTACAACTCAAAGTCAATAACAAATTTTCCTTTTTAATAAAGTCAAATAAAAATATTAATTTTTAAATCGAGTCAAATTTTATTCATCTTTATTAATAGTATATATCGGTTTTAGAAATTTTTATACATCTAACAATTGGATCAATATTAAATCTCAGAGGATTATATATAAAATGATTCTTTAAATTTAAATTAAAAGCTTTTTTATTAATTTGGGATAAGTACAAGGCAATATATGTTTAAAGATAACTCTGAACCTCTCAACATTAAATGATCACACCCCTGACATTTATGGTGTTCGAACCCGAGTCCTCAAATAATAACAACATTTCATTTACCACGAAGGTCACATGGTTCGTGAAATTTAAAATTAATTTAATATGTAAATTTTATTTATTAATAATTATTTTAAATTGAATATTATAAAATTAATATGGCGGTTCGAATTATTAATGCCAATTTAAACAATGATGAAGATGGTCTGTGTTCACTCTAGGCGTAGGTAGTCAATTATTTTTCTTGTAAAATCAGATTTAGGTTTGTAGGAGTTGTTAGCAAATTATAGAGTGAAAATGATATGATATTTGAATACATTGATTGTAAAAGTAGTGGAAAGAGGAGAATTCACCAAATGGTAGGTATAATGTTCTTTTACAAACACAACCTTAACGATAACAATAACATCCTATTAAAATTAATTAAACATGTGTAGGAGTAATATATATTTAATAATTGTTTATGTAAATGATATTTTTAAAAAATAAAATTACAAAGGCACGTTTCGTAAGTTATATTTTTCAAAGTACTAATATGATAGGAATTTCAGACGAAATTGTATAAATTTTATCAAAAAATAAAAAAAACCCACAAGTGTACGAATTCTTAAAAAATATTAAAAAATATTTTAAAGTAATGATATTAATAAATAAAATAAATAAGAATAATGTATCAAAAATATTTAAAAATTTGTATGAGTTTTACCTTTTGAAAAACACACACGTGATTCAACACATATTTGCACGAGCACAAATCAGACAGTAACAATGTGTGTATATCTTATCTTCAATCAAAAAATCTTATTTAAACACATTAAGAAAAACATATATAAATAATGTGATTTTAAGAATATTACAGTCAAAATTTGTTGATTTTAAGTTGTAAGAGATAGGTCTTGAACTTTATCATACACATATCAATACGGCTGTTAAAGACAATTTTGACTATTAGGATCTCGAGTTTCAGAAGGCTACAATTGTCTTTAATTGTTTGTACTGTCATACATCTAATCAAATTCAATACTTGTTTTTAACTACTTGAAATCAAAAATTTTGATTATAAATTCGTAAATCTCATATTGTTTAGATATATATTTTTTTCTTTAAATAATTAAATGTAATTTTTGAAATATCAATCATTACATGATTGAAGACTATACCTACACACACATGCTATTGTCGTCTAGTTGGCTTATGCTCATGCGTATGTATTGACTCATGTGCATTTTTTTTAATAAAATTTATATATAATTTTTTAATATTTTTAACTAAGTAGTCTCATTTGATAAAGAAATTATTATTATTCTTTGAGGATCTAAGTTCGAGCCCCATAGGTGTTAGGGGTGCGAGCGTTTAATGTCGAGAAGTTGAGATTTATCTTTGAATAAATATTGTCTTGTATTAACTTAAGATTATTATTAATAATAACAATAATAATAAATCATTAATGATTATACATAAAAATTTTGCTTAAAATCCTTGTAACGTTAGTAAATGCATACCATGTAAAATGAACCTTTTGAAAAAACATGACTTGCTTATCGTGTCTTGGTCAAAAAATACTACTTACGTAAATAATTATTAAATAGATATTATTTTCATAAAATTACCTCAAATATGCTTTATTGATGTCACTCTAAATTAATATTGACGTCATAAATAGAAATAAAAAAATAAGTAATAAGGGAGAAAAAAAATCCCAATCATGAGATTTGGTACCATCCTTGTGGATGGATCATGAGTTCATCGTATCAGAGCATTAACTGTGGCATTGATGAAACTAACTAATTTGTCCCACTGAAATGAGAACCAACTTTAATCATACCTGGTACCAATATAAAAAAAAAATCCAGAATTTGCCACTACAGTGATACTTCAAAATCATTTCCATTACACTAAATCATTATTTCCTTCGTCTAAGTTTAAGAAGAAAAAAACATGACACCAAATCCGAAACCCAAAACAGAATCAGAAACAGAAACAGAAAGCAACATTTCTCAACTGGTTGGCTACATATATAGCTGTTGTCTCTCACTGCATAGCATCACCCTCGGTATCGAGCATGCCGAGTTCATCAGGTCAGTGCTTTGAATCTTCTTCCCGCAAAACTTTAAGTATTGTTCTGAGTCCATCAAGTTTTTCAACTACACGGAATCATTCATCTCAACCTTAATAATCCATCCATCCTCATATGGACTCGAGTTAACCTAAATTGTGATGAACACAGATAGTAGACATAAGCAAAAGTGAATACCATATTACTAAAATTAAGCAACAATAAAAAGAAAAAACTTAAAACATCCAAATTTTCCTTATGACTGTAGTTCATTCCGGGAAGATGAACACAAGGGTGCATCCATGCATGTGCACATGCAGAAGGCACAATTACACAATCAATATACTCGAATTTGGAAACATACAAAATTTGAAAGGATCAGAGTGCAAACCAGAGCAGGAGAATTGGCGAGCTCTTCATTAACTTCAACCACTTTTCCCGAAACGGGAGAATTAACATCACTAGTAGCCTTGACACTTTCGACCGCTCCAAAACTGTCTCCCTGCTTTACAGAAGCTCCGACTTCAGGTAATTCGACATACACAACATCACCTAAATGATCTTGAGCATGATCGGTTATACCAATCGTGGCAGCATTTCCAGTAACCTTCACCCACTCATGAGAATCGGCATATTTCAGATCCTTTAAAACTGCAGGAATAGAAGAAATGTATCAGCTGCATTAACACAAACGACAAGGTATAACACGGGGCATTATAGGTAGTACAACACCTTTATTAAATATCACAATAAAATTCATCATGTACCATGGAGGAATTTTGCTCTAAGATGCTGCTTCGAGGAAAGATGATGAATTTCCATAAACAGCACAGTTTGAAGTTATATTATCGCGGTTAACATGGTCTAATACTGCTAAGATTTTACTTCCAAATAATAAAGCTCAACTATACAAATACGTCACCATTGAACTCTACCATATTGACAACATGCTCACCACAAGTTCAGAACAACATACCAAGACTAAAAAAAGTTCAGGGTCATTTCAGTTTCTGCAAATTTCTATAACACTTTTTAAATTTATATAGTATATAACATCATTTATATATATATATATATATATATCCATAGGCAAATATCCAAGAATACAGGTTGACTCAGATAAGCAACCGACTACACCTAATAGCAATGGCAATGCATAACATTATTCATGAATATAAGTATTAATAAACATTTTTTTAATAAAAAATTGGGACTTTTATATCTATAGCAAAACATTAAGCATTAGCATCTAGCATTCAAAGAAAAGAAAAACACACAACAATCCAGTCAGGTAAAACAAAATATAACATTTCTTTCCGGAAGGTAAAATCTTGGATCAAGAACAAAAATGAAATCAACACCCAAAACCAAGTTCTGGGTTTATTTCCTCCTGATCATTTAACAATATGAGAAACCATGGAGAGAGATGAAAATTTATAGAAAGGGTAATGAATTACCAGTGGAAAACCCTCTACGGAAAACAGAGATCCTGAGATAAGAAGCCGCCCTAGAAGCCCACAACATTCTCGAACCCATTTCTAATGTAAATCTCGACAACCACCGCAGTGGAGTTGTAGCTTTTATATACAAACTGCGAACCGCCGAGCGACGTCTCCAACTCCTAGTGGGCGCAGCGCAGATCAAGTATGCAACCTTTGTTTATTTTTTTGGTGAAGCTGGTGGTCAAAACCCAATAATCAACGTACTTTTTTTGTCCTCTACAAGTAATAATATGTTTTCGGTCTAATTTCGCTTTCAGTCTCTATGATGTTCAAATATTTGAAATTCAATCTCTTCTATTTCAATCTCAATGATTTAGTCTTTCTATTCTTTTAATTTTATAAACAAAGTCTATTTAACAATATCGTAAAAAATTGTTAAATTGAATTATGTAATATTTTTTAAAAAATGAAAAGAAATGCTCTCAATATTGTTATACACATAAAGTAAGCAAAAATCAAAATGTTTTCTATTTTTCAATATAAGGTTTTCGAAAAACTTTTACAATTAAATATTAATAATAAATATATTATTATGCTTAAACTCATTTAAATTCACGTCTTCATATATGTTACAATAATAATCCAATCGAATTTAGATTCAATCAATGTAATTTGATAAAATTGATTTAGAGATATAAATTATAATGCCTAAATTATATGCAGTTCTCAATTCATTAACTCGAAGGCAAAGGATTCAGTCAATGTAATTTGATAAAATTTATATAGAAATTACCGTGAGTCATGGACTGGCAAAGAATCACAAGCTACCAAAGGAAAAGCCCATGGTGCGCATGAGTTTATTGTCTGGGACCATTTTGATCCATAAGAAAGATTGTATACAACGACCCAATGATTTTTTAAAATTAAATATTAAATATTAAATATAATTAAAAATTAAGTTAAATTTTATTATAATTCTTTTGATTAAATATTACTTAATAATTAAGTTTATTTAATTAACAATTCTTATGAAAATATGATTCTTGATGATCAAGTATTTGACTCTATAAATAGCGAGTATGTTTTATCCTTTATAATTATGTGAGAATTATTTTAAATAGATATAATTATTTTATAGTTTCTACAATTTTCAGAGTTCACATTGTAATTTGGTGGCCTCTAGTTTATATCATGATATTATCACACATCGAGATCTAAAAATATCACATGCTTAAGTCTCAACGAAAGGATAGTAGAATTATCAAAATTATTGAGGTAATAAAATAACAAAGATCAAATTAAGATAAAAAAATTAGACGCCGTACCCAAAAAAAATATACCCAAGTATATGGATCAAAATTTAATTAAATTATATATACATTAATTTTTTTTAAAATCACTAAATTGTTATTTTTAAATAAAAATACCAACTAAAATATTAAATTTTAGTGTACACAATAATATTCATAACTTTCTTAACCAATTGACAACATATACATATCTCACATATCTAACTATTTGAACTCAAAACTCTCAAGTGAAAAACATTTATTTTTACTACTAAAGTCACTTAATAGTTTCATTACACAATCATTGTTTTGATTTATATTTCCCTTGTGTGTACATGCATATATATATATATATATATGATCTGTCTGAGTTTGACGATCCCATTCAATGGAGTTGAGGTCCTTAATTTGAAGTGTACAAAAGTTAGTCGACCAAGCTTTCAATATTCTTTTAATAGTTCCTGGCCAAGCTGTTAGGTTTAACACTATCAAATGAGGAAACCTGCCCAACAGAAAAACAATTAATACATTGAAACTGAAGGAAGTGAATGCAAAAGCAAAAGCAAAAGCACAAATCTTCAAAATTAATTAGCCTTTTCTATTGGTCAAATTAATAACAAAAGACCTTAATCTTTTATCATTTACTTAAATAATGTGTATATGAACAAGTCACAACCTTTCATTTATACATAAATAAACCTTAAATATCAGTCAATCTTTTATCTCTTTTATATAAATTAGAATCCATAGTATTTTAGATATTATAATATTGATAATATTAATCGAACCAACGTCCAGTTGATTGATCAAACTGATTTTAGAAAGAAAAAAATATATTGAATTTTCAATATTGATTTATTCGTCTTCGTGTATGTTGTACCAACACCACCACCAATAATACTAAACTTATTTGATAAAAATTAGATCAATTCAATAATCCTCACATTAAGTGACATGTAACTATATACCTACTTTATATTCGACATATTTTAGCCTTAATTTAATATAAACTAGTAAGATTAAAGGATAAGACACAATTATCTAAGAATAAAACAGTATTTTAGGCTTATCTGTTAGGTAGATATTTCTAGAAGGAATGGGGGAAGCTTGTAGTGGTTGGATGCCCACCGCTTAATCAGCCCCGATGCATGGTTTAGGGTTTGCCACCACTTCCTTATAACTCAAGGTGGAGGTAGAATTTCTGTTGGCTGTCGCACTAAATTCAGTCTACCAAACCAAAGAATTTTATTCGATACAAATCTTAAAAAATTGAATCTATTAAATAATTTTAGCGGAAAAATAAATATTATTCTTTTTAAGAAAAATTTAAATTCAAGAATTATATTTAAAAGTGCCTGTAAATTATCAATAAGTTATAAAAATATACGAACAAGTACTATTAATCCAGAGAACTCATAAATAACCTGACCACATTAATTTTTATATTTATTCTTTGAAAATTATTATTATTAGTAGTAATTGTTATTATTATCCCCGTTAATTTTTTCTCCGTTGTTATTATTCATAATCACTATTCCTGTTGTTATATATATATAATTTACATTTATTCTTTAAAAGATTATTATTATTATTATTATTATTATTATATATTTCTTATTTACCTTTTTTATTACTATTGTTATCATTATAATATGTTTTTCACAAAACAATTGTACTTGTCTCATGTGTTTCAAATAATGCATTAAAAGGTTATTTTAAAAGTTAAAGATATTGTTTTTATTAAAGTGATTAACGATATAGTTTTTAAACCTGCTGTAATGTGAGATTATTAATCATCCAAAATGATAGAATATCCTTCTTAAAGGTAATATTATTTTGCAATGATAATTAAAGTGATAGTGTGCAAAAATAAAATAACTTGATTGCGACTTTTTATTTATTCGTAACAAAAGAATATTCTTCTAAAAATCGAATGATTTTTTAATTTTTAAAAAAAGATTCAATGCAACTATTATTGTTTTCAAATAAGTCCACTTCATTGTTAAATCTATATCCATGTATCAATTTCAGTGGATTAAATCTGAAGTCTAATTTTGAACCTGTGAATTTTTAAAATTCCAAAACAACACGTAATTTTTAAAATATATTAATTATGGATGTCATAAAATTATTTAGTATAAAACTAAGTTACTCTTTAACGTTGATATAATTTTAACTCGTGATGCTTGTATTATTATAAAATAAAATTATTTTTAATTAAATAAACTCTCAATTTTATTCACCAATAAACACTACTAGAAAAACTCCTTTAATGACGCGCATTACGCGTCATCTATAGGTGTAGATGACACACAAATACGCTTCATTGAAGCCACCGTCATAAATATCAGATGATACGCAATTGTGTGTCATAAATCTATGACGCGCATTTATGACATGCATTTATGACGCACATTACGCGTCATTGAAGCCCTCGTCATAAATGAAGATGACACACATTTGTGTGTCATAAATTTATGACACGCATTTATGACTTACATTTACGACTTACATTGTGTGTCATTGAAGAACAAGTCATTAAAAAATATGACACACATTTGTGTGTCGTGATTGTATGTCGTAAATTTTATATATATATATATATATATTTATTGTAGATTGACAAATAATCAAACTAAATCACATTTAATGTCTCATAATACTAAATATATATATATATATATATATCATATTATATATAAGCAATCCATTTGCATACAATATATTAACATTAAGTTATCAAAAATATTGTAATAATATGTCGATACAAAATATCACGGCATAATAAAGTTTGCCACATAAGATACCAATTCTTTGCGAATATCATCAATGTCATCATCCGTGTATTCTTCATTCCCATCGCCAACCTAAGTAAAAATATGAAATAAGTATATAATTTATACTTATTTAAAGTGAAGTATATAACTATCAAAGAGAACTAAAATGACCAATTTTACATATGCATTCTTTAAAGCATATGTAAAAAATAAATTTTACACATTTAATTAGTAAAACTTCCCATATAAATTATATACATTATCACGGCACAAATTCACAGTTTTCAGCCTTGCTAACAAGTACTTGCATTAATTTGTTTAGAATAGCATCCTACTTCAGTCCATATGATAGTTGTATGACTAATGTGTATGTATGATATGACATATGTGTATCAGAAAAGTTTGCTTACATTCTTATTGACCAGCACTTCAAGTCCGTTCTCGACTATCTCTTTCATGAACTTACAAACATAATATCCACACTCGGTACCTCCCGACTGACGGGGACACTACAAATAGTTTACAATAAATGATTAGTCAAAATGAAAGCTACAATTTAAACAAGGAATGATCGAAGTCCTCACTAAAACATTGATCCAATTGAAGCTAACCCTTTTGTTAGATCCATTTTGAGCAGTGGATATAAACACTCACCAAAACGATTCAATGACCAATATTGAACCAAAATTTACCAAGAATTTATAGTAGATATAAACACTAAGCTAAACAAGAATAATAATTTATCACACATAATAGAAGCATCATCAAACCAATCAATTCATGCATGTTTTTAGCATCATTTTCATACTTTTTTTTATATTTTCGATATGGGAAGATGATCTAAAATCTCCAATGTTGTCATATTATTCAAGGATGTTTGTCTATATTTTCTAAGTAGGCCCGTCTATTCTCTAATCACCAATGTGAAAGCAACCACACACACTTTACAATCTACACAAGCTTGACTGAAAACATACCCAGATTCAATTTAATGTCCGCAGGACAAATTGAAGTGGTTTGAGTAGTATTAGCATGTTCTAATTTTCAAATCCAATATCTCAAAATTTCTCTTTTCATGTATTATTGAATAGGAGATGAGGTTTTCCTAATCAAACTTGCAACTTAATTTTCTGATAGATGGG